CGTCCTTAGATGGAAAAGTGTCTAAGGAGGTGTGGACAAGTTCACAAGTTTATCTTAGTAGTTTAAAAAAAAAAATTGGTTGCCTACTTTTTTCCATGTGCCAGTTGAAGAGAGATAGAAGTTGGACACGAAATCTAAAAAATGTATCTTTCTCAGTTATACAAAAGATGTGAAGGGTATAAGCTTTAGGACCCTTCTGCTCTAAAGATTGTGCTAAACAGGGATGTCTTCTACAACGAGCAATGCATGGTTCATAGTGGAGATCTATAGATATCCACGGAAGCTCAGAATACTCCCGAGCAGATAGATACCATGCCTTCGCCTTCTACAAAGAAAGACATGAATTTACCGGCTCCTTAAAAAAGGTCTTAGTGTATGATCAGACCAATGCAGTGTTATGGTTTTGAAGATGTTGTAGCTTATGCCTTGGCAAGCCTCTCAGATGATCTTCAATCATACTAGGAGGCGGTAGATGCACCCGATATAAAAAAAATGGTCAATTGCTATGATTGAAGAGATTGAGTCATTGCACAAAAATAACACTTGGGAACTTGTGGAGCTCCTTAAAGAAAACAAACTATCGAGTGTAAATAGATGTACAAAAAGAAACCTCCAGTGTCAGAAAAGGAAAAAGAGAAATATAAAGCCTGACTAGTGGCTAAAGGATACTCACAGAAGAAAGGTGTAGACTATGATCAGATTTTCTCCTCGGTTGTTCGTCATTCTTCAATCCGAGTAGTGTTGTCACTTGTGACAAGTATGGACATGCGCCTAGAGCAACTAGATGTAAAAACGGCTTTTCTTCAAGGTTAGTTGGAAGAGGATTTTTACATGGAGCAACCATGGGATTTTTTAAACCGGGAGAGTAACTTCTTGTTTGTCACTTAAAATGGTGGCTTTATGATTTTTGCATGTATGTTAAATCATTTTATGATGATTCATTAGTTATCTTGCACTATATATGTCGAGATTTTTTAGTTGCTGCTAACAAATGGTTTGATGTAGAGGCGTTGAAAACCCATTTGAATAAAAAAAAAAATTGATGTGAATGATCTGGAGGGCAGCCAAAAGGATACTTGGAATGGACATTCAGAGGGATAGAAGTAAGAAAAAATTATGGTTGTCACAGTCTGATTATGTGGAGAAAATACTACATAGCACATTTCAAATTGACTAAAGATTAGTCGCCTACCACTAAAGTCGACTGTAACAAGATGAATCTAGTTCTTATGCTAATGCAGTTGGGTGTTTGATGTACTATATGGTTTGTACAGGTCCTGACTCGGTCTATGCAGTTGGCCAAGTAAAAAAATACATGCCAAACTTTGGAATTGAGTATTGGAAAGCAGTAAAATAGATATTCAAGTATTTGCGAAGAACATCAAATTAGTGTCTTGAGTTTGGGAAAGAAGATAATCCACAATTGCTCATTGGATATGTGAACTCTGACTGGAGACTTTGAATAATAGGAAGTCAACCTTTAGTTTTGTCTTTACTTTTGGTGGAGGACCGGTATCTTGTAAGTCTACCGTTTAGTCGATGGTAGCTATGTCCACAATAGAGGCAGAGTACAGTGCTATGTTAGAATGTGTAAAGGAAGCCTTATAGTTGAAGGGATTGACTGGCAAACTAATTCCTCAACAAAGTGGAGTATTTTTGCACTTCGATAGTCATAGAACAATATACCTAGTGAGGAATCAAATATATAATGGCGGAAGCAAATGCATTAAGGTTAGATTTCATAAAATCAGAGAACTTGTTGTAAGTAGGCAAATATATTTGGAAAAGATACATACATATGAAAATACGGAAAATATGATCACCAAACCGGTCATAGTCGAAAAGTTCAAGCATTGCTTGGACTTGTTTTCTATGGTATGGTGATGGAAAGCAGCATAATTTCCTCTTCGACAAAGGAAATACAATTTCTCTTACAAGGTGGAGATTGATTTAAATTGGTTCAATATCATCAAGGGGTCGTGGTTCTTGGACTCTGCTTCACTCGGTTGTTGCGCTCCCCTTGCTCTGCTCTGCTACGCTTAAGCCACAGCCCCTTTATGATATTGAGTCAATTTCACCAAATCTCCACATTGGCCAATTTCTATACCCGACACAATTCCCAAGGATGTAGGAAATTTTTTCCAACCTCCTAAATCTCATCTTCTTATTTTTGAGTTATTCAATAGATTTAAACTAGATCCAAGACTATTTTTATAAAGTCTCAGAAGTTGTCTCAGATTAGTGCCAGATGAGTAAACTAATTTAAATAATCTCGAAAATTGTGAGACTATTTAAAATACCTTTAAACTTTCCAAGACCGAATCCGAAGATGCGGGCACCATAAGCGCATGGATAAATATAGATAATTTCGAGACTAACATTTTTCGACTTGGAATCTCTGAAGCAAGGATTAATTTTTTAAATAAATAAATAAATAAATGCAAAATCTTGTCCGGTAACCGGCTGCCACCACCTCCACTGTTCCCGCCGCTGCCAAAGAAGAAGAAGAAGGCGCGGCCACCACTGCTGCCGGAGAATGAGAAGAAAAAGAAAAAGAAAAAGGAGCCACCGCCGCCACTTCCGTTGCTGCCAGAGAAGGAGGAGGGTGAGCTACCACCACTGAACCGCTGCTTCCGCCGAAGAAGTATAAGAAGGAGCTGCCGCCACACCTGCCGCCGCCAGAAAAGAAGAAGAAGGAGGTGGAGCCGTCGCTGCCGACGTCAAAGAAAAAGGAGTAGAAAGAGGAGAAGGAGAAAAAGAAAGAATGAAAGGGAAAAAATTATTTTGAGGGAGGTAAGAGCCACATCATCATTTAAAAAAAAATAAAAAATAATAAAAGAACCCACGGTTCTTTTATTATTTTTTATTTATTTTTTATTAGGTATGTATATATATATATGTATTTATATAATATATATATTATATATGTTTTATTTTTGTAATTTATATTGAATTTATTTTTATATTTAAATTTTGTAGTATTTTTACAATTCATAATATTTTGTATTTTACAAAATAATACCAATATTGAATATATTTTATCAATTTAAAATTTAAAATATATAAATACAAATATTATATAATTCTATTGAACAAATCAATATTAGTAAATTTAATTTAATTTATTAAATAAAATATAATTATAAATTTTAAAGCAATTAAAACTAAATTTAATTAAATAAATAATTAATACTACAAATTAAAATTATAATTAAAAATAATATATATATAATATGAAAATAAAAATTTATTAAAAAATTAGGATGAGTATCTTGGTTGTGAATATAAAATAGAAGAGAGTATCTCCGCTGACGTGGCAAGGAGAGAAAGTGACGTAGATAAGAAAAAGTAGTAGAGATACCCAAAAATGGATATCTCCATTGCGGATGGTCTAACTAGGTGGATTCTATTAGGGTTTTTTTATTTTGATAATTTTTTCAAAAATAATTTATAATTAGTGTAATTATTTTAAAATAAGAGAGGGCAGTGGCAACTGTAGCGGAGAATTTGAATTATTTTATGACTTTGAAAGATTTAGAATTTTTTATTAAAATAAAATAATACTCCTTCCGTGTCAGATACTATATCCCGTTGTCCGTCCCAGATTCTTAATTATCTGCTAATTATTTATATTATAGGATAATTATTTTCACTAATACATTTTTAATTATCTGCTAATTACACCGTGGTGTAGCAAACACGGTACGTGTGGATGGAGGGAGTATATAATAAAGATTAAACAATTTCGAATTCATTTAAAACAGTTTTAGAATTTTCTGAGCTTTTTTTATTAAAAAAATAAAAAAATATATATAATAAAGATTCAGAAATTTCGAGACCATTTTAAAATGGGCTCGAAAAATTCTAAGTCTTCTTATTAAAATGAAATAATATATATAATAAAAGTTTGAAAATTCCAAGACCATTTCAAATAAACTTCGAAAAAGTTGAGCCTTTTTAATAAAATACTATAATATATAAATAATATGGCTTCGAAAATTTTGAAACTATTTAGATGGATTCGGAAATTTATGAGCCTTTTCAATATAATGAAAAAATATATATAATATGACTTCAAAAATTCCGAGATCATTTCAAACGATCGAAAATTTTCGAATCTTCTCCACATAAGAAAATAATATATATAATATGACTTCTGAAATTATGAGACCATCCAATATTATAAATATGTTTTATATGGTCTCGGAAATTTCGAGATCATTCAATATAATAAAGTATATTTTTAATATGGCTTCGAAAAATTTGATACTATTTTAAATGATCTTGGATTTTTCAATATTTATATATATTCATAGTCTCGAAAAAATTCAAAGACAATTTCAAAGCTAAATTCATCTGTTTCAATAGTGTAATTTAGAAACGGAATTAAGAATGATCAATGTCAGGGGCGTGAACTTTAGGAATGGTAATTCTACTAGCAATAGAAACAGATAGTTTAGGGAGGTGAACTCTCCCGGCATGCAATGAAATGAGGTACTCGCCATCGCCATGGCCATGGCCATGTATTATTCAAGAGATGAATAGAAAAGGACATAGTGTGGTGGTGTAATGGCTAATGGAAATATCAATGTTTTTTATGTTATGGGTTTGTAATGGCATTGCAGAGGTAGACTATGATGTACCCAAATATCTCTTCTTTCTTTTAAAATACGATGAATACAAGTATAAGCAAGCTACTCAACATCCAATTTATTTTGGCCAGCCAAGCAAGGAAGGAAGGTGTGGTATATCATCGAATCGATAAAGACTAGAGTGTTGTAGCACGTTCCGATGAAGAGATATTAATTTACGATGTTGAGGGACAGACAACGTAATCGGCATGGCATAGGGAGAAGACGGGGAAACGATGGAACTCTTAAATCAATATATGAAACAACCGAAGGGGCAAAATTATAAAATCAAATATTTTTCAAATTTTTTGGAGTTAAAAGAAAAAACAAATAACACACACGTGTTTCAACCTCCTAATTCATGGGAATGGCACGCATTACACAAAACAAAATCATCAATCATCTGACCAAACAAATTAGTCAAGTCAGTGCATCGTTGATAAATAAATCCAATTCCAACCAACACCCCAAGTAATAATAAGAATAATTGAACAAACAAAACAAAGGATGGTGATTGGTGAATGAATCTAATGGTTTTCCCAGAAACCTCACAACCAGTAATCATCGTCATCATCAAACTCCAATTTCAATTTCGGCTTTTCCCAAATTTTTCCATCTAAAACATCTCCATCTAATCCACCAAAGAAAAATGAATAATAATACTTAATATACATGTAGCAGGCAGCAACAAATCTCCCCTCCCTCCCTCCCAACAAAGAAACCACCAAACCAAATTCAAAATCAATAATCAATATCAATATCTGCCATGTTATTACCAAAGAATCGAATCAAGAACGAATTTCTTTCTTATCCTTTTTGTACCTTACTTGTCTCTGTCTCTCTCTGTCTATGTCATCATCAGATCAGATCAGATCAGATCAGTCAGTTGGCCCGCCCCCGCCCACGCCCTCCTTCTATGTCCTCATCTTCTACAGGCTCCGGGAAGATTTCCTTGGAATGGCGTCTGGCCGACGATGAGTTCCCATTGTTACTGTTTCCGTTTCCATGGCCATCCCCATTATGTCCCCCGCCACTTCCTTGGGACCCTGTCGTCACCCCAATCTGCTTGAAACTTCCGCCACCCTCCACTTTATGAGAAGTGCCAGCAACATCCGACGAGCTGTGCCGCCAGCTTCCGAAAAGGGCAGCATTCCATGATCCTCTTGAGGATGTGGTTCGGAGGCGTGCAGAGCTCGGCTGTTCTTCTCTTACCACCTTAAGAGGGTTTTCTAATGCTTTAAGAATGTAGCGCATCAATGGCCTCCGACCGGGCCGCGGGTTGAGGCATGACCGGGCCACAATTGCCATGGCCCAGACTTCCTCCAGCAGATCCTCATCAATGATAAGTGAAGGATCTATGATGTTTGTCACAAGGTCCTTGTCATATATACTAATGTTAGGTAATGTTGCATCCAACCATTCCTTCATTGCCCCATCTGGGCTTGAACTGATTCCGAGCTTACCAGTTACCAGCTCGAGCAATACCTTCCCAAAGCAGTATACATCATAAGCACACGTTGCTGTAGGCGTACCTGCTCATGCATTAAGATGGAAGAGTCAGTCAGTAATTACATTATTCCACACTAAGAAATAGGATCAGACGAGGAAATAATTGAAGAAACAAAGCAAGGTAACAAACCACACTTTATTGATATTTCGCCAAAAAACAGAGAAATTTAAATCATTTAAAAAAATTGGAGTGTTATGTACAATTTGATGCATTGTTTGAAGGAATTCATTGTTTTATTATCAATTAGAATGATTTGTGGTTGGCTCTTGTTGGACTAAAAAATGAAGTATCCAGGCTCCGTTAAAACCCCAATTAGGAGCATATTTACGATTAGTGTATTATAAATAATTCCTATTTGTTATTTCTAAAGTCATAACAAAAAGAAATGGTAACAAAGCACATTTTATTGATACAGTGTAAGGTCAAAAAGCACCCATAGTTCAAACAGCCCTCTAGCCAAAAGAGGGGGAAAATACACATTTACATAGTTTGCAACCCCACAATCAAAATTTTCAGTACAAAATATCCGTTATATATTTTGAGCTCTTGATTTCAAATCTGGCAGTACTTGTTCCTTCTAGCCAAAGAAATTTATAATCAGATTCACCCTTTTAAGGCAATCTTCAGTTAAAGTAGCAAGTAGCCAAGATAGATGCAACTCTGAAACAAAAACAATTACAACTAAGACTTTCAAGGAAAAAAAAAAAAAAATACGAAAAACACTTAGGATTTAATACAAGAATTTAAATACATGGTTAAAGCAGAAGCAAGTCAGAAGCTTAATTATGCAAGAACTATATCCACGTGCATATAATTTATACACAATCAAATATATACTACAAGCACAAGCTTCATATATCATTTATTATTTGAATCTCACTTATGCATCATAGACGCGGATACTAGGCAACAATATGCAATTGATGTCTTATCAGACATATATCATATAACTAATAAGTATAATATATTAATTTTTAACAGCATTACAATACCTCTATATATTATACAGATGGCACTATTCTAATAAAAGATTGCTATAATAATCATGTATATAATTTTCAATGAGTTCTTTTGTATAGTAGAAACAGATTGTATATCAATATCAACTAACATAATTTTGGGAGAGTTTTCTTGATAATAATATTTTGGACCAAAATATATGCATAAATGGATGTAATCCTTGGCGCTGGAGTCAGAGCAATCCGACGCAGGATCTATAGGGATCACCCATTTTTATAACCATTTTTGGGGGCTTTAAATGAAAATTAGGTGTTTCATGTCTTACGGTTTAAAGGGAAAAAATATGATGAATCATATAAGAATAGTCGCCAAAACATATCTTATATAATCCATATATTAATAGCAATACATTTTGCATGAGACTATTGGATATAATATAAACATTACTATAAGATGTAATTGTATTGATATAAATATTCTTGAGGTCTAAATTTATGGAAACATGTAGATAAAAATCTTGTACAATTTATATCTACAAATCATACCATTTATTTACATTCCTTGTGGAAAACCAAACATATGAATCATATAATTCAATTTATATATTTCCTATTTCATATATACTCATTCTACAGGAAACCACAATCTCTCCCAAAATCATACAAAAATTCTTATACATTTAATTGTACCAAAAAATTTAATACCAAGGTCAACATAAATGGGACATTTTAAGAAACAAATCACCAAAAAAGTGGGAATGGACAAAAAGATCACAAGCATAACTATGCAATAAAGTATTAATTATAAAGTCTAAAGCCTTGTTCATGTAAGTTTCAATTATTGAAAACTAGGACATGAACAAGTCTTACTCAGGAAATTTATGAAATGAGTCATGACTCAATGCGTAATAAGCACGTGTCACAAGCATAGATCATAAAACACAGCCAGGTATTCATAAATGAAGAAACACGTGTGTTCAACTTCAATATAATTATTGTAGACATTGACTTCAATCTTCGTATTGTAAGTGCCATAATGGCATCAACTCATGTTAAGAATCACATAGAGATTCAAGTGTCATGCTCATGCACAGAGAATAGAAAACATGAAAACAATAAATGCAATAATTGAAGGAATCAGACATACCTGATGCAGCTTGATCGGATGACCTGCAAAAGAAGCAAATAATAAAAATATCAGCGAAGAAGAGTACATAGGACATTAATATTTGAAATGAAAAACACTGCTTTCATTGGATATTAAAAGTAGACGCACTTCTCGTTTATTTCAATGCCATAAGAAAGGAAAATTCAATGTTTCCTTAGGTTTCTTCTTTTAGTACCAAAAGTTGTAATTTTGACGAGGATGGAGACTTTTATGCAGTCAAAAGGCTAAACATCTGCGGGTTTTTGGTTTGGTTGCAAGATTTACTTACTGGGGCAAGCGGAGCAACCTTGAGATCCTGCTTTGATGAGTTTCACTTTCTTGAGGACAAACCTCACTGAGGCTTCCCAACCTAACTTCATATTTATCATCAAGGAGTATGCTGCTGGCTTGGACATCCCTTCAGTAACACAAAAAATAAAATCTCAATTTTCCAAAATGAGAATAGCAGTAGGGTCCAAAGCAAAATAATACCCATAGCAAAGACAAAGAAACTACAGAATACACATAATCTTAAAGAGCGAGATCATGTACAATCTAAGCTCACAGTTCTAGGACCTCTATACAAGCATTCAGAAGTTCCTGGAGATATTATTCATTGCTCTTCTGTATCTTTGCACCTATTTTGTGACATCCTAAGGGTTTTGATCTATATACATTATGCAACCTTCACCCATGTACCATTCAAGGATTTTTTTTTAAAAAAAAGTCGGATTTATCAACCCCACGTAATAAAGCAGACATGAGTGATACAACAAAAACCCCTAAACATGACCAGTTTTAAATGAAATTACAAGTAATATATATAATAGTTTTTACCAGAAAATACTGGGCAGTTAATTTGCAGGGAAGCATATTTTTCACAATATATGTACAGCTATGTGTTGGAGAAAGTATCTTTGGTGCTTGATACCACAATTTGGATCTTGTTTACAAAAACCATGCTGCATCTCTACGACTTTTGGTGTTATGCTGATCTATTACACGATAGATAATCAAACAACAGTTGAAATGCAACTGACTATCTATGTATGTGTGCAAGCACAATCCAAAACAAGACTAAACCTTCATCTAAAAACACATGTTGACTGATATATGTAGGACCTAAATCAATAATATTGTCTAAACATGTATAAAATCAGAAATGCCAAACAATGAATAGCAACTCTTCGGGTTCCACTTATGCTTGTACGGGTTGGGCCATCAAATTTCAATAGACACCTAACTGATAGCCTAATATGGAGAGAACTGATGGAAATATTCACATGCTAGAGAAATTGCAAAATAGCATAAGCAAAATTTTCGGCATCAACTACAAAGTGAGCTAAATGACTTCAGATATATTCTGCTTATCAAATAGACAACTTTATATTAGCAAGTATAGACACCATAGGAGCGATAACGATAAATCTAAGCCTATCATATATATTCGTGGTCTCTCATTATGTCAACCCACAAATGGATCCAGTACCTGTGAACAAGTGGGGGGGTACATTCGTGATGCAAGTAAGACAGAACCTCGGCAGCTCCAGTAGCAATTTTAAGTCTAGTTATCCAATCCAGTGACTGTAAACTATCATTGTCTGAATTTGATTTCTTGAACAAAGAACTGGACAAATCTCCATTTGGCATGTGCTTGTAGACAAGAAACTTCTCATTCTCATTTTCCAGGCAATGGCCCAATAAGGGGACCAATCTAGGATTGGAAATTTTGCCATAAAGATCCAACTCTGACATGTAGCTTTCCTTTCTTGCTGCTGAATTCAAATCTATCTTTTTAATTACTACTGGGATTCCACCTTCAAGTTTTCCATAATAGAGATGGCCAGAATGGCCAATCTTGATTAAATTTGGATCACTGAATTCACTTGTCGCTTGAAGAATCTGCTGATACGTAAATGCATCTCCAAGAGCTGAGAGGTTCAACGGAACTGCAGTATTCCGAGGAGTTGCAGCAGCTGGAGTGGGCTCCACGCCTCCCGTTACTTGGTTTGCTGTTGTGCCCCTTCTGCGGCGCTTGCATGCGATCAGCACTACAATGATTAGTACCAGAAGCACAATCAGCACAAGAGCTCCCAGGACTGAAGCTAAAATGATAATAATCCTGGTACTCTTCTTGTTAGATCTTGGAGAAGGTTGTGTGCCATTATTCCTTCCAAAGTTATCGAATACCATATTCCTGTCTGCGTAGAATGAGGCACAATCGGTCACACTCCTTTGCCCAGTCGCGTGTTGGAGGCAGTTCCCTCGAACAGTTACATCGCCACGTGCATAACCTGGAACTGGGCCCTGGAAATAATTGCCTGACAAATCGATAACGCCAAACCTCCCAATCACAGGTGTAAGCTCTCCATAGAGCAAATTGTGTGATATGTTAGCTACTGCTACTGCAGCAGTAGAACTAGCTATTGAAGTGACATTTGGCAGCTCACCAGTAAAATTATTAAATGACGCATCAAGAAGCCGCAACGAGGGAATCAACCACAACGCCCTAGGAAAATCACCACGAAAATCATTATGCCTCAAAATCACAAACTGCAACTGAGTCAATGGAGTAAAAAGATCAGCAGGCAACCGTCCTGAAAGTAAATTGTTTCCAAGTACCATCCGCTGCAAGCTTCTCAACCCCCTAAAACCAGGAGGCACAGACCCCGACAGAGCATTAAAGCCAATATCAAGCTCAACCAGATTAGACAGATCACCAAGCTGGTCAGGCATAGAAGAGAAACTGTTCCCTGAAAGATTCAAGAACCTCAACCTAGACAAAGACCCAATTCCGGAAGGAATTGATCCCCCAAAAAGATTTAACGACATATCCAGCTTAGTAAGGTTCCCCAGAGATGCAAATGTAGATGGAATACTCCCTGTAAGCCTATTCTGCGAGAGATCAAGCACAGAAAGCCCCAATATCTGACCTAAACTAGACGGTACTTCACCCGTGAGGTTGTTACCGGACAAATACAATTCAACTAAGCTACTAGAATTGCCAAGAGTTGACGGAATAACCCCATCGATCGAACAAGACCTAAGATCAAGCACCCGCAATGAAGCAAGCTGCAACCCAAACCACTGCGGGATTGACCCCAGCAACTGGAAATTGGAGGCATTGAATGAAGTTAAAAGGGTGAGGTTTCTTAGGGCATCCACTGAAAACTGAGGGTTTTGCGTTCCCTTCCTGGTCCTCCTAAACCCGGAAATGTTGATCCCTGTAATTCTACCATCAGTAGAACAATGTACACCCATCCATTCTGTGCACGGGTCCGCTTTTATGGGCCACTCTTTCGCTCTCAGCCCTAACGAAGATCTCAATTGAAGCAATGCTAATCTCTCGTCCCAGGATGCCAACAATTGCTGCTCTAATGTACGACCAAAGAGAAAGAAAAATAACGGCACGCATATAGCAACTATCCGGCTCCACCGATCCACCATTGCTGCTGCAACTTCATTGAACTTCGCCACAAAATCAGCCTCGATTTTCCGAATCCCAGGAATCAGAAAGCTAGAGGCGGCTGCAACGCTGGGAATCTAGGGATTCTCAGTGCGCGCATTTTTTGATAAACACATAGATAGGCAGACGTTGCTGTGAGAATGGAAAAGAGATCAAATTAAACAGAAAGATGGATATCTCCGGAGCGGAGTGATACTACTGATTACCTTGGCACAGAAACGAATCATCAGAATCAGTCCCGGATTTGTTTGTTTCTTCACTCAAACAGTTTCCATGTCACTCAATAACAACAACACACAAGCACGTGTGTGAACGAACGTATCTCCAATTTTGGTCCAGTTCGGAAAGAGGGGATTTCTCGAGTGCAAGAAATAAGTCAACAATTCTGGGGTTTTAGGTGGGGATAGATTGAAAAAATGGCGAAAATACTGAATGCATTAGCAGAAGCAGCGAGTGATGATGACAATGGATGCTTGTAGAGAGAGAAATCACACACAAATCTCTCTCGTCTCACTCTTTCTCTCTCAAGAAAACCCCAAAAAAAAATATCCCTTTTCTCTTTCTCTCTCTTTTTCATGCGCCTTTAAACTTCAGCAGCCTTTTGCCGGCGCCGGCGCCTGCCGACTGGGTCGGGTTTTTAAAAAAAACGAGTACAGTTGTTTAGGTAAGCATATCCGGGTTCGGATCCGATTAGGGGTTTGACCGCCGAAAATCCCGCCCAATAAACTAGCCCTTACAACAGAGGCAGAGATTAAACTTGTCAGGGTTTAGGTTGTCTGCTCCAGTTTGATCGGTACCTCTCGAACCCCTTTATGAATGGTGCAGATTGATCAGGATTCTGACTCCGGGAGTAAGTTTATACTCCCATAGGGGAGACAACAATCTTTGCAACTCCATGGAGTTTGGAGTCCAGATACGATACACGTTCTGAAATTTGGCACTGATATTGGTGTACGCTAATTTAATGGGGAATTCGACTCCAGGGAGTGGCTACCATTTTGTGACATGTAAAACTGTTTCTGGTTAGGACATTTCAATTGAAGTGTCATATTTAGAGTTTGTTGTGCCTTTTTTTTTTTAAGTATATAGTAGTAATAAAGAAATATATTCAAAATATGTCTTAAAAATAATGCTCCTGGAGTATAATTTAAATTTATGTTTTTTTTTTTTTTTTATAAGTATCATTCAAAAAATATTCTTATTTTTATTTTAGTAAAATATCTTATTATTGATGTTCTTTTATTATAAAAGATATTCTTTTTATTCACAGTAAAATTATGTACTTTTAATTGGATATAAAAAAAATAAAAATATATTAATATTATATTATTAAAGTAAAATAGGTCAAATGTAAAATGAGATATATAAAAAAAATTATTAATTATTGATAAGAATAGTGAAATATATAAAAAGAAATAATAGTAACAAATTTTTCATACTAATTGAATCAAATATGTCGATTTGACCCAATCAGTCTTTATCATAATGGTAAATAACAAATATTGCATATATAATAATATATTTATATTATATGTGGTTATTATATATATATTAATATGATCAAATTTGATTTGACTTACTCAGCACCTATTTTGTCTCCTATATTAATGTTATATTTTTTAATATAAAATTAATTTTTATTCTAATTAAAAATAATTAACAAATAGTAAGATACGCATTGAAAATCCACAAATAATCGGAGCCATACGATTATACTATTCTTTTTGCTCAATTGTTGGGTGTGTTTTTCTATTTTGGGATAAATATTTTTTTTATAACTTATCTTAACACTCTTTATTATTTGAGTAAGTTTACAGAGGGAGATATAATGTGTTTATTTAGTATTTTATTTTTATATAATTTTTTAAATTTTATTTCTTCGGTCATAATTGAAAGAATTTTTATCATTTTTAAATATTTTATTTAAAATTATCATTTTTATTATAATACAAATAATTTCACATTAATACTGAAATAGTTTAACTTTTATATAAATTACAAATATATTATTACATATGCAATTAATTTATACATAAGTATAAATGACAAAATATAGAAACTATCTTACATATTTCTATTAATTAATAAAATACTATTATTTCTAAATTTAAAACAAAATTTATAAAAATAATTTGGACAGAAACAAAAAGGGTATTAAATATATAATATACAATATATATATATTGAAATAAATATATATATATATACATACTATATACATTATTCTCTATAATGTTTTTACAATTCGTGTTACTTTGCAATAAAAATACTTACAACTATTAACATAAAATAAACACAAGTATAATCCTTACAATTGGAATATTATCGAATATGCTAATATCATCTAACCAAATGACAATTTTTAGTATGAGATATTGACATATAATTAATCTATTATATTTATCAATATATATTATAATTTATTAAATACTATAAATCAATGTTAATATCTAATGTTAGAATGAGTTGTTGCGTGGCTAATCTATGTCTAGAACGGATCAGGTGCTGAAGCACTTAAAAATCTAATTATATGATTTAATTTATTAAATAATATAATTAATATAATTATATAAATTAAAATGTAAGTGTTCAGCATTGTGCTGAAAATTTATTTTCAGCACTTGATCCAATCTGATCTATGTCAACGTGTATGACAATATTTAGACACTAAAAGACATTTTTAGGAACTACAAATTAGACATAAGGTTGTTTATATAATGTTGTATTAAAATATCAAAATGATAGATGATATGGAAGTAAAAATATATTTATATTTATGTTTATATGCATATATGATGCTTTGAAACACAATATCTGTTAATTGGAAAACATTTTGGAATTGATTTGACAGCAGAGTTCTCTAGCCTTCTCAAAAAATAATCCGAACTATTTCGCAATATTCGAGTGATTAACGCGGCAAGAAGATAAATAATCAAATTAAGAAGGTAAAATAAATATTGCAATCTATTGAAAATTGAAGAAAGGGTAAAATAAAACTATAAATCAATATGAAAAATTTAAGAAAAATTGAAAGAAAAAATTATTTTAGAAAAAAAATGTGTGTAAGGTGAATGAGTCTCGTTCAAATCATTGGAATGTTGTTTTTATTGAATTTGAATCTTCTGGATGTAGATCCATTATCTAAATATGACCTTCTCTTTTGGAATGTGATTGTTCAAACCTTATTTTTTTTATTAGATTCTTCTTCTCTTTTAACCTTTCTCACAAGTATATGACATTCCAACTTCTTTTTCTAGATAAATCTTTCATCTTCTTTATTTCTTTCTATAAAAATCTCACATCTCACTTTCCTTTTGGATAGATTTTCTACCTTTCTAACTTTTCTTCACCAAAAACCCCATTTCCTCTTACAAAACAGCTTTCCATGTCATTTATCTAATCGAGTTCACACCTAGACCTACTCATATATGTTGTTGCAAGGCTGGGCCGACTCGAGAAGATGAAAAGAACTACTCCCTCCGTCCCAAACATCGTGCAATATTTGTGTTTGGCACGAGAATTTAGGTGAAGAGTATTAAGTATGGTAATTTGAGATAATTTGGATATTAAGTGATGTGATTAGAGAGAGAAATTTGGATATTAAGTGATGTGATTAGAGAGAGAAATGATTATTTATTTTTTCATTTGAGTGATGTGATGGGATAAAGTGAAGTATATATTAATATATGTATATAAATATTATTAATTATTTCTAAATTTGGAAATGTTGCAGTGAGTTTGGGACAAACAAAATAGGAAATGCTGCAGGATATTTGGGAGGGAGGCAGTACTTATGTGATCTAGGAATTTTCTTTTTTATGGATTATAAATGCCCTCCACAAAATTATTTAGACAAAAATAAATTTGTAATCCTAATAATTTTGTTAAATACTTATTGATTTGAGCATCCACCTAACCTTGATAGGTCCTTTCCCCGTTGGGGACCGTTTATAGAGTCTTGCATCTTTGAGGTCTTTCGAGAGAATGACCTTCTACACCATATCACATTCTAGTGATAATTGGGGCCGTACATGTTTTCGAAAGGCTTATTTGGCCTTCTCTTTAATTTTTGGCACTACCTCTGGATTAAAACACATCGAAAAATGTATATAGAGCCTAATATGACACCTTCATAGGCGGGCGATGTTCTAACATGCTCCTTGATAGCCCCGGAATTTTGTGGTAGTTCTATGATCTTTGAACTCTTGTCGGATTAGGTCACTCATCGGATCATATCGTTCTCCCCCTCCCTCCCCAAATTGACCTCCTCCAATGGATCTTGCACCTCAAATGGTGGGGTAGCTCCTCGGATCGAAGAGTAAATTTCATATTTGCCTTGGGGAATAGCCTCTGCCTGCTTGTCGGGAAGGTGAGTGGCATGAGTTCCGGCTTATATGAATGGAAAATCAGACCTGCCTATTCTTGCCTCCAGATCCCACATGATCAGGTCTTCATTTATGAAGAACTGATGAACCGTTAAGTCGTGTGTCGACCTCAGTTTTAAGGCAAAAATCCGATCACCTTGACCTTAAAGTCGCCCTCATAATGTAAGGCTCCGTTCAAGGTCCCGATTAGTGGCTATTATATCCAAACTTGCTTCCGATAGCTCATCGCAATCGAGCTCTCTGATCATCAGCTCACCTTTCGGAACTTGAACTGTGAGGGATGCTATAAGAGGCTGTTGGTATAAAAGAGATTCGTCCTTCGGAAGGACGCACTTCGGCCTCCATTCCCATCGTACCTAAAAACCGATGGCAAATATTTATGATCCAATTTCGGCCTTCTAGTGGCCATTGTATCATGATTTTCTCACTACCGCTTCCTTGCTTGACATTCATGGTCTAATTTCGGCATTCCAGTGACCACCACATTCTGATTGTCTGGCTGCCGCTTATTTGCCTGACCTTCCAGGTCTAATTTCGGCCTTCCAGTGACCACTACATCATGATCGTCTAGTTTCCGTTTCTTTGTCTGACCTTCTCGGTCTAATTTCAATCTTACAGTGACCACTACATCCTGATCGTCTAGTTGTTGTTTCCTTGTCTGACCTTATTGGTCTAATTTCGGTCTTTTAGTGACCACTGTATCCTGATCGTGTGGCTGCTGCTTCATTGCCTGACCTTTCCGATATAATTTCGGCCTTCCAATAACCACTGCATCTTGATCGTGTGGTTGTTGTTTCCTTGCTTGACTTTTTTGGTCTAATTTCGGCCTTCCAATGACCACAACAACTTGATCGTGTGGTTGCTACCCCCTATCCTAACCTTCTTGGTAGAGGGAGGCCAAACGTTGTCGCTGCATTTTTCTCTTTTGAGTCCTGGTAGAAGGTCGTGACCTCTGCTCCTTCTGGTTCATAGCCTAGCTTGCATTGTCTGGAGCCTTCTCGGAAAGCTGTGTCTGATGTAGTGTAATTACCACCTAATCCACCGAGGTCACTCGCCAGACCTCTCCGCCTTTCTCGAAGCTTACTTTTGCAACCGTGTTGGTAAGGAAAATATATCCCACACAGAACTCCTTCTCGGGGGTTTAATCGACTTCCCAATTTTATTGACACCGGTTTTCGAGGGCCTATTTTCATGTCGTCTATTTCAAACCCTAATGTCAGCTTTCTAGGCCTTTTTGAATGCACTCTAATGATGTTTATTGGTGTAGGGAATGGCTCCGTATCAAATTTTATGTCAGGCTTCTCAGCCAGCCTGATGCAGCCT